TTTGTTGATCTTCGCTGTAGATTTTTTTTTTTTTAAGAGCAAATTCAAGGCATGGGCTCCGGATTAGGACTACTCTTTTGTGTAGACAGCTCATCTGCATGACTGCCCACCCCATGCTGGCCCCACAGACTGCCAAGAGCCCGGCCCAGAGTACAGTGTGGGGTGGCAGGGGTGCAGCCCAGCCTGCAGAGGGGCAGGCACCATTAGCCTGGGGCTCCCAAATCCATCTTGGGAATAGAGCTCTGAGCAGATACATTTCCTAAAAGTCCTTCTGAAGAAAGCCTCTTCTTATCTGTGGAGAAGCACATTTCATTTTAATGAACGAAGCATATCAAGAAGGTCAGAAAGCACAACTCACTTCAGTACCAGGAGCCAGGGAAGAGGACATGCCACCTGTCCCCACGAACACAACTCAGGAACAGTCAAAGTGGCTCTCAGCCCTTGCAGCTGTCAGAGCTGCCTGGGTCTTCGGGAAATGCTTCTCTGTGCCAGTCCTGAACTTTGCAATCCTGGCTCCTTTGCCATCAGCAGGTAGTTGCATTCTCACCATGCACACACTACACCAGCACACACATGTCCGTCTGCTCTGTTCCACGCGGAGACACACAGGCACACACCTCCCAGGGGTTGTGATGATGAACCGGGGGATGGCTGCCCCAGTGGTAGAATTTATAAAATATTTCTGTGCTGCTTCTCCAGGGGTGCCCATCTCGCCCTCCCATCCAGCCCCCAGAGATCCCCCAGGGTCCAGCACTGGAGGAGAGGAAGGGGGCACCCAGCACCAGCTCCCACCTCAGGCTGCTGCTGTTCTACTGAGCGGGGCGCAGGCAGGATGGGCTGTTGGAGCCGAAGGTGGGGGCTTCCCTTCAGAGACCCCCGCTGTTTCTCCACCAACAGTCCCCGTGGACTACTGGAGCATGTTGATGCAAACTTCCTTCTTGCTAAATTTTTACCTAGTTTTAATTTGTTAAAATACCTGTGCTTTTCAAAGTTACTCAGAGTCCGTCTGGGGCAGTGTTCCAGCAGCAGGTCCGGTGGGTTGGGGGAGACACGTCAGCTTCCCTCCATGGGCAACCGGCACGTGCTCATCATCACGCACTACCCGGGAAATCCAAATCAAGACAAGATTATCTCATGCTGCTGAGAATGGTATGCATCAGAACTCCTGGGAATGATCTCTGTCAGTGGAACGTGGCGGCGGGAATGCTGGCGGGAATGTGGTCAGGTTCAGGCCCTGTGGGTTTAGGCTCTGAAAGGAGAAAGGGGTCTTGAGCTTTAGAAGGGGGTCTTGTGCTTCAGGAGGGGGTCTCAGGCTTTAGGAAGGCGTCTCTGGCTTTAGGAGCAGGTCTCTGACTTTAGGGGCGTCTCTGGCTTTAGAGGAGTCTCTGGCTTTAGGAGTGGGTCTCTGGCTTTGGTGGGGGGGGTCTCCGGCAGATTTGCAGTGTCTTTTCAGCACAGACCTGGGCCTTTCCCCTGGGGAGGAACCCCGAGGCCGCCCAGCCTGCATGGGACCCAGCCCACTGCTCCCCACACCCCACCTCACATAGTGTTTCCTGCACCCCCGGAGCCCCGCCTCATCACTGCCCATTCTTGGAGAGGGTCGGATGCAGTGCAGGCCCTGGAGAATGTTCTGGAGGGCAGACCTCCCAGGTGCCGCAGAGAGGGGCTCACCCCAAGCAGGGGCCCTGCCAGGAGAGTGCACATGCCCCACTGTGGGTGCAGCCGCCCGCAGGGCCACCCTGCTCCCCGGGCAAGGAGTGTGCGACTGTGACAGGTTGGGGACAGGAGGCCAGGCCTTTGTTCTGCACCCCCTGCTCCAGGGTTCTGGGAGCTGCTGAGCTGTCCTGGCGGGAATCACCGTATTAGTGACAAAGTGACCTCTGGGTCAGCACATTCAAGGCTTTGGGCTGGGTAATCCTTTGGCGTCTGCCCTGGCAGCTGGCCGTCACAGATCGGGAGAGACCCTGGAGGTGTTCTGTCCACCTGTAAGGTCACCGCTCAGCTGGGCCTATCCCTCTGGCAGGGAGAGGAGAGGAGCTGGGTTGAGATAAGACTTGGGTGGACGCCCAAACTCCTGTCTCCACCACCCTCACGGCTGTGTGACCCGAGCAAACTGCTGAACCTCTCTGGGCCCATTGCCATATCTGACAAGCTCCTCAGAAACTGTGTGTGTGGGTGGTGGAGTGGGGGCAATGTGTGTGTGTGTGTGGGGTGTGTGTGTGTGTGTGTGTGGTGTGGTGTGTCGTATGGTGTGTGTGTGGTATGTATGTGGTGTGTGTGGTGTGGTGTGCTGTGTGTGGTGTGTGTGGCGTGTGTGCTGTGTGGTGTGCTGTGTGTGGTGTATGTGGCGTGTGTGTTGTGTGGTGTGTGGTGTGATGTGTGAGTGGCGTGTGTGTTGTGTGGTGTGTGTATGGTGTGATGTATGTATGGTGTGGTGTGTGTGTGTTGTGTGGTGTGTGGTGGGTATGGTATATGTGTGTGTTGTGTGTGTGTTTGGTGGTGTGTGGTGTGATGTGTGAGTGGTGTGTGGTATGTGTTGTGGTGTATGTGAGTTGTGTGTAGTGTGTGTGTTGTGGTGTGCTGTGATGTGTGTGAGTGGTGTGGTGTGTGTGTGATGTATGTGAGTGGTGTGGTGTGTATGTGTGCTTGTGTGTGTGTGTGTGTAGGGGGGTAGTCTGCAGACCACCTGCAGGCATTTGTGTAGGCTCCGGTCTCACAGACTTTCTCTTGCGTGAGGGGCCAGGCTCTGGGCTGGGCAGTGTTAGGGGAGGTTCACAGTGCCCGGCCTGCCACGCAGGGCTGTGCCCTTCACAGGTGGCCCTGGCCGAGACCCCTCCTTGAGTCTCCCTCAGCCTGGCCCCCAACAGTGCCGTGGGCCTAGGTTCCTGGTCAGGGAACTTCAGCCCCTCGGCTCCAGCCCCCGCCAGCAGCCCTGCTCCGGAGGTCCCTCAGCCAGGGCTCTGCACCGCGGGAGCCCAGAGAGCAGGAGCACCTGTGACCAGCACAGGATAGGAGCATCTGCAGGGCACCCCAGGCTGGCCATGCAGAGATCCAGGAGGGAGACGGGCTGGGGCGAGGGGGCTGCCTCGCGCTCATGGAGAGAGATGCTCTTGGCTTCAGAGTCTGGCCGCTGTGGGGTCCTCACGGCTGTGCCCGGCAGGGGTGGGGGGAGGTGAGGACAGGGGCAGAGGCGGTTTAGACGGAGGCCTCGCTCTCCTGAGGCCCCAGAAAGCAGATTACCCCACAAAGCTGACTTTCCAAATCCCTAATAGTGCTTCCCTGGCAGCCTGCGGGTTACCCTCCTGACGTCACAGCGCGCCCCCGCCGGGTCCTTAACTCTTCCTTCCAGAAGGTGGGCGAGGTTCCTGCCCCCCCCCCCACCCCCACCGGCTGGGATTCTAACCAGGCTGGCTGGGGCCAGGGTTGTCCCCAGACCCGATCAGCTATCTACTCAACCAGCAAGCACTGCAGCATGGGCAGAAGGCGGGGAAGAAAAGGCCCTTTCCTCAGTTTCTCCTGCCAACTCAATCCCCTATTATTTCCATTATTATTATTCCATTCTTCCCCAATCACATACTCCCACAAAAACCAAGAGATACTCCATTCTTGATTCCAGGCAGAGTCTGGCAAACTCCCCGTGGCGCACCAAATATGCCAAATACCAGTAACAATGATGGGTCTCATTCTCCTAAAAAGCCTTGAATATAATCTCAGGGCTAGGATGAAAGAGACGTTACTGGGGCCTGCTCGAGGCAATCGACGATTAACAGGATGATGAATGAATGAATGAATTCTTCCCCATTATTCCCCTTTCTCTGCTCTATCTGTGTGAGATAGAGATTGCCTAGTTCTGAGGTAAAGTGTGCTATCCTGGCATCCAGGTGCGTCCTGGCGGGCTCAGGGATAGAGCTGGGACTCGAGCCTGCAGCAGCCCCACTCACCTGACTGCCTCGGGGGGCAGGAGGGGAGTGCCAAGGAGGGGCACTAGGCTTTTCTCCCTGCCATGCTCTGAGCAGCCCTCCTAGGATGGTGGGGCCACATCCTAGAGGGTTTGGGGACTGCCACCAGCAGTCCCCAACTCAACCACCAACTCAGGCACAGGGGCTGCAGGCACAGCCCCTGAGTCAGAGAATGTCAGTCTGAAAGAGGCCTCCCGCCTGCGCTCGGTCAGAGTAGGCCCAGGAGGATGAGGTCACCTGCGGGCCAGGCCTCATCTAGGAAATGAACTCTCTAGTGTGGTCCTAACCCTGGCCCCTGAGTAGAGGCTTCTTGGGGGTCTGGATGAGAAGTAGTAGGCAGAGCTGGACCTCCCAGAGCCCAGAGTGAGCAACACACAGCCCAGACACACATGTGCACACACGGCCCAGACACATGTCTGTGCACACACAGCCCAGACACACATGTGAGCACACACAGCCCAAACACACATGTGCACCACACAGCCCAGACACACATGTGTGCATATACACAGCCCAGACACATGTGTGCACACAACCCAGACACATGTGTGCACACACGGCCCAGATACACCTGTGCACACAGCTCAGATGTTCATGTGCACACACACACACACACACACACACAACCCAGATACACATGGGCATGCACCATGTACTTAAGGAATGTTTCCTTCAAGGTTTCCCTCAAGGTGCCAGGTGGTGAGCACCAGACCTCAGGGTGCCGGCTGCTGGGGAGGGGCCCCTGGTAACTGCAGGTGGGGGGTGGGGTGGGGAGGGGAGTGGGTGATCCCCTGTGGAGACAGTAAAGATTAAAAGGATCATAAGCCGTCTCAGCGCTGTTCCGGGACAAAGCTGGAGCTTCCAGCCAGAGCTCAGAAGACAGAGGAAAGAAGAGAGCCGGGAGCACAGCGCAGAGAGCCAGGATCACGGTGCAGAGGGAGGCAGGCAGGGACCAGCCCCCGGGCTCCCCAGGACGCTTTCCTCGGGTGGGAGGCTGTGCTGGACTGCCCATCACCGACCTCCAGCGCCTCACCTGCCAGCATGGCTGCAGCAGCGCCGGCCACACCCACCGTGTCTAGGAGGGAGTCTCCTGGCAGGTGGGACCCGGGGGAGGACCCCACAGGTATGACCGGACTGTCGGGTGGCAAAGTGTGGGCTGGAGGTGTGTGGGATGGGGGAGGGAGGGAGAGCAGTTGGGGAGAGAGACTGTGCGGGGACCCGAGGGGCAGCTGTGGGCCGCTGGTGACCTGCCGCTGGCGCAGGCCGGGGCCCCTCGCTGCAGTGCCTGGTGTGTGGGGACAGCAGCAGCGGGAAGCACTATGGCGTGTACGCCTGCAACGGCTGCAGCGGCTTCTTCAAGAGGAGCGTGCGGCGGAGGCTGGTCTACAGGTGAGGCTGGTGGACCTGCAGCCCAGAGGACGCTGGGAGAGGCAGAGCTGAGGGCACTGACCTTAGTGCCCTGCCTGCAGGTGCCAGGTGGGGGCTGGGCTCTGCACCGTGGACAAGGCCCACCGGAACCAGTGCCAGGCCTGCCGGCTGAAAAAGTGCCTGCAGGCGGGCATGAACCAGGACGGTGAGTCAGGTCCCAGCCCAGCAGAGGGATGGGGGAGTGGGGGGGGGGGCATTGCTGGTGGTGGCCGTCCTGACCCTTGCCTGACCCTTGCTGTTCCCCACCAGCCGTGCAGAACGAGCGCCAGCCCCGAAGTCTGGCCCAGGCCCGCCCAGACGGCCCTGTGGCACCGCCCGAGCTGGGCCGGGAACTCCTGCTGATTCCCCCGGCTGCCCCGGGCCCCAGTCCTCGGGGCGAACCCCCCGTTTCTGCACCCAGAGCCCTGGCACCTTCCAGCCAGCGCCACTTCACAGCCAGCCTGATCTCGGGGGAAACTGGGGCAAAGCTGGAGCCAGAAGATGGTGAGTGGGAGAAAGGTGGGTCCCCCCAGCCTCAGGGAGGCTGCATCCCCCAGGGGGCCCTGAGCAGCCTGACCGACACCCCCACTGCTGCTCCCCACAGCTGACGAGAACATCGACGTCACCAGCCACGAGCCCGAGCTCTGTGCCTCGCCGTGTGGCCTGGACAGCACCCACGAGACGTCAGCCCAGCTGCTCTTCATGGTCGTCAAGTGGGCCAAGAGCCTGCCGGTGTTCCCCAGCCTGCCCTTCAGGGACCAGGTGCGGGGCTGCTCCCTGTGCAGGGGAGGGGGTGCACGGGGCCGTGGCTGGGTCAGCGGTGCTCCAGGGGCAGCGATGGTGGAGATGCTTCTGCAGAGAGGCTCAGAGGCTTCTTTCCTCCCGGACCAACACCTGCATGTGATGGAAGCAGGGTGGGGGGCTCTGGGCTCCCCCACAGCCAAGACCTCTGACTTCCGGCCGGGAGCATCTTCCAGTTCATCCGCCCAGCTCACATGCTGCATGCAGGCAGGCAGTGAGCAGCCAGGACGTCAGCCTGGGTCTCCTCAGTGCGCGGTGCCCTTGAGCTGGGGGCGTTCCAGGCTGCCCACTTGCTCTGGTCCAGCTGCAGCTCCGATGAACCCCACTGCATGGCTGGGCCCCTCAGCAGCTGGGCCAGAAGGCGCCAGATGCCAGAACTCTGAGCCTGACGCCTGTCAGGAGATTCTGGCATCAGGGTGAGCCCTTCCCTCCCACGTGCCCATCGTGTGGGCCCGTGGCGGGGGCTGAGCCAGAGATGCCGCTCATGGGCTGACTGTCTGTGCCACACAGGTCATCCTGCTGGAGGAGGCATGGAGTGAACTCTTCCTCCTTGGGGCCATTCAGTGGTCCCTGCCTCTGGACAGCTGCCCCCTGCTCGGCCCCCCACAAGCCTCAGCCACTGGCAGCTCCCAGGGCCGACTGGGGCTGGCCAGCACAGACGCCCGCACGCTGCAGGAAATCATCTCCCGGTTCCGGGCACTGGCGGTGGACCCCACTGAGTTCGCCTGCATGAAGGCGCTGGTTCTCTTCAAACCAGGTGATGATGCTCAGAGAAGAGATGGGGAAAATAGAGCCAGAAATTCCTTCTGGGGTTCCCCTGCTTCCCCTGTGTTGCCATGACAGTGGAGCGAGGAGCCTCTGACCGGCCTCACTCGCAGGCCAGTGCTCTCTCCTTTGAGTCTGGACTGTGACTTCCTTCAGCTTGTCACCATCCACCCACCCCCACTGCCCAGAGCCTCGGATGTGTGCAGGTGTTTGCCCCTGGGCATGGGTCTAGAGGGCTGCAGAAGAGCTCACTCGAGCTGCTTCTCCCCAGAAACTCGGGGCCTGAAGGATCCTGAGCACGTGGAGGCCTTACAGGACCAGTCCCAAGTGATGCTGAGTCAGCACAGCAAGGCTCACCACCCCAGCCAGCCCGTCAGGCGAGCGCTCCGACCTGCTGCACCCCAATTGTGCTGTCTTCACTCCATCTCCCCGCACCCCAAACCTTCCCATCTTCACCCCATATCCCAAACCTCCCCATCTTCACCCCACCTCCTTGTACCCCAAACATTCCCATCTTCACCCCACCTCCCCACACCCCAAACCATCCCATTTTACCCCACACCCCAAACCTTCCAATCTTCACCCCACACGCCAAATCTTCCCATCTTCACCCCACTCCCTGCACTCCAAACCTTCCCATTTTCACCCCCTGCCTCCCAACACCCTCCAGTGTCTCTGACACTATTGCAAGGCTGTGCACATTTGGCAGGACAAGGGTCTCAGCTCACCCAGCACAGACCCAACACCTGCTATGTGCCAGGCCCTGAAAATGAGGTCCCCAAATGTACCAAAGACAAAGTTGCTCCTTCCAGGGGCCCGGCACTGAGAGCACCGAGAGTGGTGTGCGTTTGTCACAGAGTTGAGTGGGGGCACTGTGGGTGGGGGTGAGACCAGCTGAGAAGGACTTGGTGGGAGGAGGCAGGGCCAGTGGTGAGAGGACACACAGATCTAAAGAGGAGACTGTCATTTAAAAAAAAGTCTTGGTTAAATTAACAACTACCCCTCCTTAGCTTGGGGGGGGGGGGATTAGTTGTTGTTAATAACATGGGGAGGATCACATCTGGCAGTGCTCAGGGTTTACTCCTAGATATGTGTCAGGGATCGCTTCTGGAAAGGCTCTGGGGATCCTCTAGGGTGCCAGGGATCAAATCCAGGTTGGCCTTGCCCCATTACTAAGAGATCATCATTGGCAGTTGGGGGGATCTCCAGGGCTCTGAGCATGGGAACCCATGAAGGTGTGACAGGTGTGACTTCGCAGTGATTGGGGCCCTGCAGATTGGTGCCTCTTCTGGGTGCGGGAGAACAGACATGAGCCACTCTGGAGTTGGAATGGGTCAGGCATGGCACTTGGGTTAATGTCAGGAGCAAGGGAAGAGAAGTTATTAAGAGATGAGATACTCCAGAAGTGGGAGGGGTGTCATGAGAAACTGTCTCTGAAGGACATGATAAGGTCCATGGATGGTGCAGAAGGAAAGCGCATAGGCTTAAGTCACGGTCTTGGTCCTCCCGTTGTTCATCGATTTGCTCGAGCGGGCCCAGTAACATCTCCACCGTGAGACTTGTTACTGTGTTTGGCATATTGAATATGTCATGGGTAGCTTGCCAGGCTCTGCCATGCAGGCGAGATACTCTTGGTAGCTTGCTGGGCTCTCCGAGAGGGGCGGAGGAATCGAACTCGGGTCAGCCATATTGGCTGCGTGCAAGGCAAACGCCCTACCGCTGTGCTATCGCTCCAGCCCAGCTTAAGTCAGGCATGTGGAAAATGATCCAGCTCCTGTGGGGGACAGTAGGCTGAAAGTGTGGCAGGGAGGACTGTGGACAGGACCATATTCAGGACTGCCCACCTTGATCCAACACTACAGATATCATGGAGTTTGGGCAAGGCTAAACTAGCTGAACCCAATACCAACTAGCCATATTACACCCTATAGTCTGCATACTTTGGGCCTCCTAGAAGTTTCTTTTCATAGAAGTGAGATAATATGGACATCTTCAAATCACCTCTAATCAAAGAAATGGCCCTAAAAAGATGAATCAAAATGTGCATGGACTATACTGTGTTGCCCAGAAAGATTTCAGCTGCTCCTGAGTAGACAGAGAATAACTCCTGTCTCGGACTCGACATGGCCATCAGAGCCACTCACATTTCAGCAATCACCCCAGGCCAAGTTTCTGTGGGGATCAGCTTCCAGAAATGCCCAATTTCAAAATACTGATTAGCTGAGATTTCCCATGGCACTTCTATAGCAGTTCACTATCAACCTTGAGTAGAACTGAGGACTGAGCATGCTCTTGGCTTGACTCAGTCTGTGGTTTCTGTTTTTAGATACAACAATACCCAAGGAAAAGTGTTGAGTTCTGTCATGATGAATGCAGACCTTGGAACCAAGTTCTATGGTCGAATACAGTCCTTAGTAGAATTTACTTTTCTTCCTTTCATTAGCTCTACAATCTTTTTATGATCTACTTTATTCTTTTAAAGGGCTGGACGTGACCCACTAAATTCAAGTTCAGAGGTACTGAAATTTAGAGAGACTTCTTGAGATGTCATGGGCCAATTTCTGAAGCTTGAATAACTCTTTTTCATTATAGTGACTTCTTCCTGGTCGAGGGAGGGGCGCACCCCTGCTTGAGAGCTACTTGGCACTCACGAGAAAGCTGGCCTTAGAGTGCAAAGACCTGCAGATAATAGAAGGGGGGGGGGGTAAGGGGAAGCTCATCTCCATGCAGGAAACTGAGCATAGAGCCACTCACTTTAGACTGAACTTGACATTGGGTGCTGACCCCAGCTATCGGCCCCTTGCCGTGGGAAGGGCTGATTCCCATAACAGATTCTTGGAATTCCACCATCCAGCTCTCTGCACTGGGATCTCTGCCCTGGCAAGTGTTTTTTTTTTTTTTTAAACTAAAATACTTCTATGGGTGAGTATCTCTGCTACAAAAATTATGCTTTATTTTTACAAAGCTGTTCAGGATTGTATTTCAGTCATACAGTATTCCAACAGTCATCATATTTACACGAATGCCTATGCCACTAAATCCTTGAGTTAGCTTACAGTGGGAAATTCATATTCACACATAGCATGGAGATGATCATCATCACACATATCAATATTTCTAATATAATAATTCACTTTATGAAATTTAGACATAATCTACTATTTGTGATGCCCTCCTATGGGAGTGATGGGGATCCTGGTGGGCAGTCACCCCCACTAATACATTGGTCTTACCATGAAATCCCTCCTCTCTCCCCCCAGGAACCTCTTACCAACCCTCATCCTTCCCTGCCCTCCCCACAGGGCTGTAGCCCCAGCATCCATACTGAGGAGCTGACCATGAGTGGATGGTGTCCTCTCTCTCCTGCCCAGGTTTGGGAAGTTGCTCCTGCTCCTCCCCTCTTTGAGGTTTATCACGTCTGAGCGCATTGAGCACCTCTTCTTCCGCAAGACCATAGGGAATACTCCAATGGAGAAGCTCCTTTGTGACATGTTCAAAAACTGAAAACGGAAGTGAAGTGGGCAGAGCCACTTTAGAGAACTATACTGAAGCTAAGCAGTTATCTATCCTTTAACCCGGCCAGAAAGGCCACTGGTAGGTTTGTGCACCCATCTGAAATGCCCTCCAAATGTATTTTATAATTACATTGACAGTAAATTGAACAAACTGTTGTATATTCTGATAAGGGAAAGCAGCAATAAAAAAAAAATGAGCTATCAATACATGTAACCACCTGGCTCAATCTCACAGACAAGAAAGCTGAGCAAAAGCAGGCAGTCCAGTGCTGCTTGTACAAAGTCCAACATGAACCCAGGATGCTGGAAGTTGGAATAGGGGTTATCTCTGGGTGGGGAAAATGGGAGGGACCCCCAGGAAGCTTCTGATATGCTTGAAATATTTTTTTTCCTGATTGGATGATGGTCTCACAAGTTATTTCTTAAGAATTGAGCTGTGCTCTTAGGATCTGTGTACTTTATTGTGTGAGATGTCGGTAACAAAAGGAACAAACCAAACCAGGACAAAGGATGTGAGCCCCAGGCTCTTGCGGAGGGACCCAAAGGAATGAGCACGGGGCTCTCTCAAGTCCATGTGTAACAGACTGAGTTCAGGTGTAGGATATTCAAACTCGGTGTTCAGACGCCTATAGGAGTCTCCCAGCATCCCTCAGGGGGTGTCCCACCACCCCATGGCTTCTCTCAACTCTTCCATTTCCTTCCTCACCTCTCCATCTCCCAGCTCAAACACAAGAGACTCATCATCTTTTTCAGTGACAGACACTGAAGGTGTAGGAAAAAGAAGTAAAAAGAAGTTAACATGGCGGTGTCTTGGTGTCTTTATAAACAGATAATGAGCTGAGTGCAGAAGGTGCAAATTACTTAATCCACTTGACTTAATCCCCTTCACTCTGGTGAAGGAATGTTTTTCATTTACGACCAAAAGACCTAGGACCTTGGTGCGGCTCTACCAAGCCTGATTTAAGTTTGGCCATCACCCCTTCAGCCCTGGAATCAACTGAACAATTCTGTAGCATCTTTTGTTTTCAAAGAAGAAATGAGCTAAGTTTAGAAGGAAAATATGTGAGAAACGTGAGCTCCTGAGTCTGTGTATGAATTCTGGTTCCCAGAGAGGCAAGCAGTAAATACTGCCCAGCCTAAGCCCTTTCCACTACAACATTTCAAAATCTTCTAAAAACATCAGCTTCGCCTTAGTTATCCACATCACTTAATGCCAATGAAGCCATTATAGTACTCAAATCCCTACCAAAACTTTTCTCCATTCAAGGCCTATACTTAGCACAGGCATGTTTAGCAATAAACATCATTGAAATATGACCACACAGGATGATTAACCTATCATCTTATGACCTTACTTTTGAGAAAGTTAACTGCAAAGGCAGTCTGTCGGCCCAAGATCACTGACTAGTCTCTGGGATGTGTGAGCATAGCAATTCTACACTGGGAGAGACTGCTTAGGAATTTCAGGAAGTCTTGGATAATTTGGAGAGGTGCATAGATTGCCTGCTGTTAACTCAGCAACAATACCACAGCCCAGCAGCCCTCTCAGTCCTTAGGTCCTTAACTACATTTCCAAGAATCCCCCTTTCTGAGGCTCTGCCCAAGGAAAAAGGCACTCACATGAAATTTGGAGGGTAAAAAAGATGTACATACTTTGGGAGGTAGCTGCAGCCAGGTCCGTCAGAAGATGGTAGATTTCATAGTACCCTCCTAAACTCCTCAGGCCTGTAGTAGTTTCAAGCAAGCTCTCCAGAGGAGGTGTTTTTTTTTAAATTTTTTTAAGTGAAGCAAGTTTTCATGGAAAGAAATGTACTTGGATGCAAGGGAAAAGAGAAGAATACGTGTTCAAGAAAGTAGACATGTGGGCTTGAAAAGCACGCCAGAACTGTAAGAACTTTTGGCCGAGATCCTTGTTGATCTATCTGACCTACTGTGGGAGTTTTCAGACACTTGTTTGCCCAGTTCTTCCAATGTTACAGCTTTAAATTTGTCTTCTCATGTGGGGTATGTTGAATATATAGCTCTCAGATGATTCCAGGACTCAATTCACCCATTTGTTAATTGGCCCCATTGAAGTTCAAATAGACAACAGATCTTTCACTTCATAGAGTTCTTGTTAGAAGGATGCTAGGCCCTCAAAGAAGAAATTTTTTGGTTATGATCATAAGAGGTAGGAGCCTGGGAGAATATTCAACTGCTCAAAGGCCTGCAAGGTCCGTGTGAGCCCCAGAATTGGATCCTCATAAACACTCTTTTCTCCCCATCTGCCACCTGGGTCCTCCCCAGCACTGGCCAGGTGGTCCTGGTGGTTGCCAGGGTATTAGCACTGCACCAGCAGACCTGGACTGCCAGGTGGGGCCTATATATTGACTGGGCTAGGACACAGTACTGCTAGCAGTGATCCCTGTGCCTTTGAGTTCTGCTGGGGAGGCCCCCCAAACTGACCCTAACTACACACAGTGAGCCTTGTAAACCTACCAATGAAGCTGTTTCAATTGAAGCTGCAGTTTTCAGATTCATGAGACACTTCTCTATGCTTAAGGGAGTATTTAGTGGTAGAAAGGGCAGAGGAAGACTCACTCAGCACTACGCAAATGAATATGACCTGCTAGTGGAACCAGATGTGTGGCTAACTAGTTTTAATCTGGAGGTGACTGATTCTTCCCTCCACAAAGCATGCCCCACAGGGCCCGTTTTGTTCCAGTGCTCCTGAAGCACTGTTCCCTGTGGTCCCCTCAGGGAACAGACTAGACTCTCATCAGATATTAGATGTATTTAGTTTCACGCTCATGTCACTGGCTTCAAGACAGTCCTTCTCCCCAATCTAAAAGAAACAACAATTGAATGTATTAAAGAGCTCTGTCCTCATTTTTACTTCCACCTCTCTACACCTTTCTATTCCTAGGGCTTCATAAAAAATTCAGTACTCATAAAGTCAAATGTTACAAATGGCATTTATAGGTCTTATGTGGTTAATTAAGGACAGTTTAAAAAAGTTTATGATCCTAATCATTTTAACATAAATTTCGTGCAAAAAAACTAAATTCTAGCTAAAACTAAGTGGTTAAGAAAAATGGAAAACAATGATCTCAAAGAAAACAAAGATTTTCAAAAAACAATTAATCTGGCACTATGAAAAATTCTCTACATCTCTTTTCTCTTTCACCTTAGATCTGGCTTGGCATTTGGTTGCCTCTGATCTCATTACACCCTCAGTGTGGGCATCTCCAGCTGGGTGCTCGGTGATCTAGAAGTTAGCAAGACAAACAAGGGACCGGGGTGACAGAACAGTGGGGAGGATGTTTGTGTTGCACGTGGTCAACCTGGGTTCAATCCCCAGCATCACATATGGTCCCTGAACACCAAGAGTGATTCCTGAGTGCAGAGCCAGGAGTAACCTCTGAGCAGCGCCGGGTGTGACCCAAAGAGCCAAATAAAAAAAAATTTTTTTAAAAAAGGATAAAACACCAAGGGATGGGGTGTGTGTGGGGGAAAGACAGACAAGATTTCTTTCTTCAGGAAGTTTACATCAAACAATGCCACAAAAATTGAGATCCATTGACCTCTAATTCCAAGTAGAATTTCCTTTCACACTGAGACCTCAGTGAGAATCATCCAAATAATCCGGATTTTTGGATGATAACTTCTCCTGCAGAGGAAAGGTACAACCAGTGAAGACAAGCGAAATTTCCTAAATCATGTGTTGTTGTGACGGAATAAGAGTGACAATGTTGAATTCTTGTTTCTAGTGCACAATGCTCTGTCTCAAGCAAAAACCCTCGGGCATCTTAGCACATGCCACTTCTTCAGGCCTCTTCAGGTGGGGATCCTATTCCTTCCTTGCATATGCAGGCCTAAACTGACAGAATGAAATGTTGCCAGAATGACTATGGAAAAGTTAAAAATTTTTTCCCTTGGTTTTTCTTCCACACTTGGAAGTTATGTGGAGCCAGGGATGGAACCTGGGTAGGCTGAATGCCTTACTTGTTGTTCTTTCTCCAATTCCCCAAAAGCTTACGTTTTACCTTCACTTAGATTAAGTTGCAGTTCAATAATTACCACCTCTGTATATATACCCAATACAACATATATTGGATATACATCCAATACACTAAAATAAATACGTATTTCATGCCTATGTATATCTGTATCTATAGATATAACTGCTGTTTCTTGGGTCACAGTGGTGTGAGTTGGAATAGGAGCCAAGATGGTGAGAGAACAAACCACACACTTTGCTGCTTTGGGAAGCTTTGTTCTTTAATGAGCCATGGAGTGATTTGTTCGTCAAGCTGCTTCTGCGTAGCCATACAGTGCATATCTTGAGTGGCACAAATTGCACTTTATACAGATGATATCTTGCTCCCCCCCTCCAAAAGCAAAACAAAACAAAACAAAAAAACAAAAACAAACCCCGAAAGAAAATTACAAAGTGCCTATTGATTGTATCAGGAATGTAATCAGTTCTGTGGATGAGATAAGTCATTCTTCTTATAGAATTATTCTGTTAAACAGTAAAATGATATTATAATTCACAGGATATGTCCCTTTACAATACAAAGTCTTTTTTAAAAATTTACACTCAGCATACTTATAAATTACTTTAAATCCGTTAAAATAATATAACACTAATCTGTAGTCCACACCTTTCTTCCAGTAAATACAATTACCTGGTTCAAAAGGTTTAAGTTTTATGTGACCTAAGAGGGCTGATAAATATTTAGTATGAATAGATAGCAAGGTAACAGGACCCATGGTGGGACTTTTGTTGAAAACAGCTGCAGCCAAGAGAACAAAATACCAAATAGATCCATTTCCACAATCATCATTTGGCTATGACCTTTAGATACCAAATAGAAGTGGGAGCAGTTCCAAAGAAAAGTGGTTAAATGCATGAAAGGCAAAGAAAGACAAAGAACTCCCACAAATACAAGTAATTTTTGCCACCAAGGTTACCGCTGTGCTGGGGAAAAGGACTGGGGAGGCATCACTAAAGTGTGGGTAAACATAACACATCTGTCAACAGAGAATGATGTCTGCCCCATGCCCAGCTCCCCAGCAAGGGCAAAAAGCA